CGCACGCACGCACACACACATGCACCCCCACATACATGCGCACGTACACAGTCAATCGCGTACCTTCACGATCACACGCACGCACGCACGCACACACACATGCACCCCCACATACATGCGCACGTACACAGTCAATCGCGTACCTTCACGATCACACGCACGCACGCACGCACACACACATGCACCCCCACATACATGCGCACGTACACAGTCAATCGCGTACCTTCACGATCACACGCACGCACGCACGCACACACACATGCACCCCCACATACATGCGCACGTACACAGTCAATCGCGTACCTTCACGATCACACGCACGCACGCACGCACACACACATGCACCCCCACATACATGCGCACGTACACAGACAAACGCGTACTCTCACGATCACACGCACGCACGCAGCGGCACGCACACACACATGCACCCCCACACACACGCGCACGTACACAGACAAACGCGTACCCTCACGCACGCACGCACGCACGCACGCACGCACGCACGCGCTATGTGTAAGTAAACGTGGGCGCGCTGCGGTGTCACAGGTACTTGGAACGTCTTAATTAAAAAAATCTCTTTCTCTACTCTATTTCGCCTATTATTGCCGATAATTACCCGTAAATGCCGGTCAAATGCTCATCTGCAACACACAAGTACACCGCACGCCCGCCCTGTGCACAAACAACACGAATAAGAGACTCTCTTTTTATTTCATCATTTTTTTTATTGAGACGTTCCAAGTGCCTGCGGTGTGTGTAGGTACAGGCCTACGGACGCGCTGTATCACACGCCTTACATGACCTCTATATATAGTTAGCGCGGGCGTGTTGGTGGTACGCGGGGCACCATAGACAACAATGTCAACATTAAAATGTGTAAATCGTATCGAGGGTGCATTCCTCGATAGCTTGGCCCGTGTATCCGCTGCTATGTATGAGCAAGCACGTATTTATTTCTATCTACATATCCCGCGCGCGCGAGAGAGAGAAAGAGATAGTACGTAATATTAAATATGTTAGACGGTGAATACCGATGTGGGTGCGTGTGTGCGTGCGTGGATGTGTGAGTGCATGCGTGTTTCCTTGCTGGGAATTCCTTTTCGAGTGTTTGCGCTGTTTGCTACCCACCCACGCCGACTAACCACCACACCAAAGTCAGCAGCAACATTAGCAGCAGCAGCAACAGCACCAGCATTAGCAGCAACAGCATTAGCAGCAGCAGCATTAGCAGCAGCAGCAGTATCAGCAGCAGCAGCAGCAGCAGCAGCAGCAGCAGCACACCAGCATTAGCAGCATTAGCAGCAGCAGCAGCAGCAGCAGCAGTATCAGCAGCAGCAGCAGTATCAGCAGCAGCAGCAGTATCAGCAGCAGCAGCAGTATCAGCTGCAGCAGCAGCAGCAGTATCAGTAGCAACAGCAGCAGCAG